AAAAAACTAAGCCAATTCTACTTCCGCTCTCCATATATAGCAACTCCATGCCTACCAATCTCTTTTTGTCTTTTTCTCAAAATCAAAATCCTAAAAATTATAACCCCAAGCTGTTGCCCTTCTCTTTGTAGCTCCTCGTATCTCTTCCATTTTCACCAATTCTCACATGAGCACTGGTACGGCGGTACCAGCCACTGTCGCTTTCCCTCTTCACTTCTTTTATAAAGAAATTGTATGCCCAGAGTAGACCTTAATCTTAAATCAGCTAATGGGATTTTAAAAAATTGAATTAAAAAAGATGTTTTAAAAATTAGAGTACTAATGATTGCTTTCGAGAAAAATATATTATCCCTCAGTTTCATTTATTGTGTCTTAGTTTGACTAGGCACAACTTTTAAAAAAGTAAAGCGAACTTTTGAATCTTGTGGTCTTAAACCAAAAATGTATATAGCATATCAAAAATACCCTCTCAACCTTGTGGTCCTAAACACGCTTACAATGGAATGTTGTTAAGGGTAAAATGAAAATGTAGTAATGAAAAATTTACTAAATAGAGAAAGGTGTCATTCTTTTTTAAAAGAATTATAAAGGAAGACATATAAAGTGCAACAACGGGAGTATATTTTAAAATTTCACTTGAATTTAGTAATTTGCAAGAATATGATTAGGCTTTTAGCATTTTATTTTGTTCTGAGTGAATGTCAAGTGAAAGCAAGTCAGAGTTACCTATAGAGAATAAATTTACATGCTTACTGGACGACTTGAGGCTCTTGTAAGAATAAAGATATTGGAATTTTATTAACGAAATAGAATTCACTGTTTCTATAAATTAGAGCATATTGTTGCTTTGTTTACAATTGAATTATTCTTCCTTGTAAGGAGTTGCTCATCAATTTTAGACTACAAGTACTTTAAGCTTATTCAAGTACATTGGAGGTTAGGCTTGCATTCTTCTAAATATGGTTGAATGAAAAGAGATTCTTTAGTATGAGCTTATATGGGGTCATTAGACTTACTCAGCACATATAAAGAATCTCATTTCACGCCAGTCAACCATTTCTCAACACTAGGTAATCATATGATCACTCCACAACAACAACGACCCAGTAAAATCCCACAATTGGTGTCTGGGGAGGGTAGCGATCACTGATCAGTATGCAAACAAATTCGCAGCAGGTGATTAAAGGATGTTGATGCATAGAAGAATGTTGTCTACCAATTGAAGCAAAACAACCATTGTATCTTTAGCTTCTTGACCAGTATAATTTCCGTTCTTTGAGAGAAGATCATAGAGAGGCAATATCAAAGGAGGTGCCAAGATTTGAAGCTTACGGGTTCGAGATTCTAGTCTTTTAAAGTTATTGGCTTCTAAATTAATAATTTGTTCATATTCAATGGATTTCTTAAGACAGATACAAGGTTTGGATCAAAGCTACTAGCTTCGACCGAATCTGTAATCCAAACTCTAGCTCTGCCCCTAAGCAAGATTCCCAAAACCACCATATCAACTATTACTATTTTCATTTTGTCCAGAAAAAGATTTAGATGCGAGAAAGATATATATATATATATATATATATATAGAGAGAGAGAGAGAGAGAGTGTGTGTGTAAAGAAGATCGTCACAAAAAAACTTATGGGGCAAGACAACAAAAAATACCATGATTTATCATATATCTTTCTTTTTTTGATAGATAAAATCATAAAACCATGATTTAACGCATATATTACAACTGGAAAGCTCGAGATGTTTTACCGCATAGATAGTAGAAGCTTAGTTCGCTATCAAACCCCCAAGTCAAACGCAACCAAGACTTATGGTGGGTGTCAATCAAGTAAACTAAATATCCCAGTGAGGCTATAACCTGCAACAAAGAGGGTGAGCGCTCAATTGGATATGTTGTCCATAAATTAGGTAAAGAAATATCTAAGAAAATCAAAGAACAAAACTGTAATAGGGCCAACCACCTACAAGCTGAACCGCGAGAAAGATGAACAAAATGTCTCTGGTCACAAAGAATCGGAACTTTAAAGTTCGCCACTTTCTATCAGCAGGAACATGAACTCTCAAGTAATAGGGAGCTTTGCAAGTTGTGCAATGGGAAAACGCGAATCCTTCCTGTAAAAGATAAAATGATTTAACTAACAAAAATAAATTCAATTCTGGTGATTATTGCTTACTGTAAATTGCTTGGAACTTATCAGCCAAGTTATGCAGTCATTGCTTCTATGAAAGCAAAGCCTCAACAACTACATGATAATTTTGAATCTTACTGTTGAAATGAAAAGACAACAACTACATCCCAATCCCAAACAATCTGGGATCGACTATATGAATCATCACTGACCATAGTTTTTCATTTAAAATTCATCTCCGGCAAGAATTACACAATAAAAAGTACCAAAATCTCTACTAGGACTAAAGACTCTTAAAGAGCATAGTACCTCTCAACTAAAATGACTAAAATGTATAACCATCTAATTGGTATCACCTATATAGATCTTTTTCTTCAACTGTGCCCTATCTTTCGCTAAGTCTGCATGGACTCGAAATGATTGTAGGTCTTTAGAGATAACTTCCTTCTAAATGATTTTAGGTGTACCTCATCCCCTTTTTAACACCTTCACTCATCATGGTATCACACCTGCCAACCGGTGCATGTTGAAATGAAAAGCACATACAATAAATTGAATCTTGTAAGTAAAGTGGCTCGTCCAAAAGCTATACCATCACGATATATGTACACATGATGCTCAAAACCTGATCATACGCTTTAATGCATCAATACAAGTACAAATTAGTTCCAAGTCCGGCAAGACTCGATGAAGTGCATTTCCAAAACAAAAACAACAATGCAACTTCGACAATAATAAGGTTAAAACTGCTCAAGTAATACAGATTCAAAAGCTAAAAACATACCTTCACCGCCCGCCAATGATCAAGGCAGTCTCGATGGACAAACTTTGATGTGCCCTTGCACTTGCAAGGTGCAATAAAATCCCTACCTGAAAAGGAAAAATAAAACACTTGTGGGTATCCCAATTCTGAAATAGCATAAGTTCAGCATATAACCCAATAATGTGATTTGCTATCGAATGAAATAAACAACAAACGACCTGGATAACAAGCATCCACCAAACTACCAAAAATTCAAGCCACCTCTTCATTAAATGCTTCTTACTGTTTTCATTTCTTTGATAAATCCAAACAGATAAAACTGTTGATAAGTAACAAATCCAAATAGAATAGATGCACTATCACATAGTATTTTCATTTTCATTTCCTGTGTAATCAGACAATACCAACACCACATCTACAAATTTCTCAACCCAATGCAAACACAGCCTCTCACTAATGCATAGTAAAATCTAATTTGACGTGCACACTTGGGTTGTAACAATTAAGGGGGTTTTTTTTAAAAGAAATTTGGGGTTATGGTAAAAGGAGAAAACCCGGTATTTTCAAGATAAATTCACCAAAAAAATTCCTTTCCATCACAGGACCTCAAAAAGACACCTAAAGCAGCTTCCTTTACAGTTACAAACAACACAAGAATCCTAACCTAATTTGACTTGTACACAAAGGGGAAACCACCATATATTCATGACAAATTCACCACACAAAAAAAATTGCTTTCCACAGCAGAGCCTCAAGAATCGCCTAAAGCAGCTAACTTTACAGTTACAAACAACCAAGAATTCCAAATAATACACTCCAACCAACTTATATTCCAACAATAATAGACAAACTGCAAAACCAGAAGAAAAAATAAATTGGGGTTATGTTCTTTTAAGGGAAATTTGGGGTTACAGTAAAGGGAAAACCCCCATATTTTCAAGACAAATTCACCAAAGAACTTTCTTTTCCACCACAAGGCCTCAGGAATCACCTAAAACAGCTCCCTTTACAGTTACAAACAACACAAGAATCCTAAACAATACACTCCAACCAACTAATATTCCAAAACAATAATAAACAAACTGCAAAACCAAGAAAAAAATTAAAGGATAAAAGGGGAAAAAATCACCATCAGTTTCAAGGCAAATTCTACACTGAATTTGTTCAGAAGAACCAGCTTCAAGATCGATCTCGCTAGGGTCAGTGATCAAAGAAGGTGGGACCAAAGGAGAAGATTCAGACTGATCAACCATTTCCATTTTTTACACCAATTTTCAAGAAAGAAAAAAGTTCACAAATTTACAATGATCAAAATTTTCAGTTGACCATCATCAAGAAAGATCAAAAACCCTAAGACCCCCTTTTTTGTTCTCTCAAACAAAAGATAAATATTTTACAAGTAGTATATGTATAAAAATACATACATACACTTTATGAGAAATGGGTCTCTCCTCTCTTCCCTCAAGTGATAATGATATACTTTGTTTGTTGTTGGTGTTTTTGGGAAGAGATTGTTTTATTATTCTTTTGTGTTGTCTGAGTTTTAGATGACACAATCGAAGAGAAAAGAAGTGTAACATACGGAGAAATTAAAGAAGACATCTATTATTATTACCCTTCCCAAAATAGCCACGCTTTTTCTTTTTCTCGTGATTAATTAGCCTATTTTTCAAAACTTTTCTTTCGGTTTATTCTCCGACTTGTTGATTGAAAAATCAAAAAACAATTCTCATACATCGAGGAAATAGGCCTTCTTTTTAAACTTTAAAAATACTTGTCAATATTTGACGTTTAAACTAAATTATATAATGTATTATGATTAAGCGATAAATTAATAAAATTTAAAGTTTTAAGCTTGAAAATGAATATTTAATTTTCCAATCAGCTTTAAGAAATGACCAAGAATCATCTTCCTAAAAAGAAGATTCTTCCTTTGAAAAAAATAATTTTCAATTGGCTCGGCAATAAATATTTTAATTATATATTATTATAAGTTTATGTCAAGGTAAATGTTATATATTTATTAGTTTACTATAATTATGAGATGAGTACATTCTTTCTTTATCAAATATAAAGTGATTAGTCTCTCATTATATTTTTTATTTATTTCTTGTTGTTGGGAAATAAGATGGACGGACGATGAGGGAAAGATAAAAGAAAACTATCCAAAAATTTAAGATACCACATATAGGAATGTCTATTAAAAAAATGGAAATGCTTTTAATAAAAAGAGTGAATCATATTCAATTACCAATAACGCTATTCTAGTACTTTTTTGTTGGTTTTGTTGAATATAAGAAAATTTATGGAAAATATTTAGATTCAGTTGGTGATTAACAGCATACACAGGTGCAATTGTGTCCTCTTATATTGTTACTAGTGAGAGTAGCCTAGGCTTTACTCGACCCAACGTGAATAAAACTATACTATTGTAACAAAGGATATAGAGACGGTATCTCCGAGGAATGAGCTTGTGTAGAGAAATGGAACACTACTAAACTATTACATCTTATAAGAGAGAACAGCTTTTGATGTAAAATACTAGCTTTGCCATAAAATATATTATTTTGTGTACAATATTTATCAAAAATAAAAAAGTGAAGATTCCTTTACAGAGTAATTCTCTGATTGCAAGAAGCAAGAAACAACAATTGCACCATATTCTTTGTAGTAATAGCTTTGAGTAGTATGAACCAGACTCCATGACTTTGGTTACCAGCAAATTTGAGAAAAGACACTAATATGCCTACTAAATGATATGTTCTTGAGTCATAAATCATGGCATAGCATATTGCAGCAATTGTGGAAATACCTAATTTATATCTTAGTGTAAAAATAAGTTTTCCGGTCATCAATTTGATGTATAAAATTCTTGTGATCACTTCAATTCCTACATCTTGAAATCTAGTGTATTTTTGGCATATAAGTTCCAAAAGATTTTTTTAAAACTTTAGGTACCTGCTGAAACATATATGCCAAAATTTACTATTTGGCTAAAATAGGCGTATTTCAGAAAATTATACAAATATACTTGCTAAGACGGAGGAGAAGTGATTTAGCATATTAGATAATTTGATAGATTTTTATATCAAGTTGAGGTATCAATAACCTTGGCAAAACTAATTTATTTAGCTAAAATTATGATAGTACCTTAATGAAGAACCAGAGATTCACGATTCATGTCACAAAACAATGTTATTCCAATGCCATCGAATGAAATTAGCATGGTTTTTCAAATTTCATCATTATCCAACATAGTAAAAATGTGCACGGAGCGACAAAAGCCAAAAAAAGAGTTAAAGACAGCAAATGCAATGCTCAGTAAACAACATCACTAATGTAACTCGGTTAAGCTTGCTTTAACAAAACCAAGTAGACTATGTAAAGGTTAGCACATAGCCAAGCAGACTATGTCTTTGGTTTCATTCCTTATGTTCTGATGTAACATTATGAGAACGTAAAGTTATATCAGGTATAGCATGCGTACCTATCTCAGTTGGCAAAACCATTATATCAATTATATCTATGGTAAATACAACAACACCCACCAAGTTATTTTACCTTTATCTCGTATAGCTGAAGGAAGTAGTTAAATTGCAGGTTTGCACCTCTACTTGGTATCAGTTTGTGGTTATAGAAGGAAGTATAAGCTTGCAAGATTAATCTTAAATGCTTAAATAAAAATTAATTAATCTAAAGCTTCAACGAATCTTTGCAAACTAAATAACTCCACCAATATAATCTTCGTCGAATATATGTACGAAATGAAAAAAATTCATTTAAAAAAAGTTGAACGGTGAAACCCGTATTACCCATGTTTTGCCAGAAAGTTCAGAAGAAAACTATCTTACTACTATAGTGAGCACCTCCAGTGCTATAATCCCAAATGACAGGTAAAGCATCCTAATTACACGATGATGATGAAAAAGAAATCCACATGAGACTCCAGGAAGAACTAATTATTAGCTAAAGTATGTCAAATGATTTTCAAGAAATGGTGTGTTCCAAGCTACTGTTACCTTCAAGTCCACTTAGGTGATATTGGATCTAGCTAAAAAATTTCTTAATTTTGTCAATTCATTTGCAACTTAATTGTTCTCCTAACAATGCATTGTCAATGTGCCATGAAGTAATCCATGGTGCATTCTGCCTATAAAAATTAAATACAATTCTACGAGTTAATTACTTATGATGAAAACTTGAGGATGAAAAGAGTCACAGTTTTCTTACCATGACAACATCAACCTGCAAATATAAATTATAAGGTTCCAAAGCCAATTTGAGAGATTAAAGGCTACGAAAATATTATTTACTTGCTCGGAAAAATATGGAACATAAAGTAAAAGCACAAAACGGTTACCAGTATGAAACATACTTAATCTTCAAAAATTTAACACATGTAATAGTTAAATCACTTTGAGTTCTTTCATAAGAAGTTTTGACAAAAAGGTAACAATATATTTAGATGCCTCATGCTATAATATTCGTATAGGTGTTTCATGTGATAACATGCCCTTTTAAGTAGCACACTTACTCTTATACTACAATTATGTAAAATAAATCATTACAATGCCTTACCTATTTATGCATATAACAAACTTTCTATGCATTTAACAACTTAGGCATCTTCTATCTGCAGCACAATTCTTTTTGGTGTATATACTAATCAACCTTTTTCTTTTATTAAATGAAAATAAACTAAAATGACGTATAGTCTAAAACCAAACATCATTTTGAAAGACAGACAAATATCACGACATAATTTTTCCCTTGGCATTAAGAATCAAAAGTACACATGATCAAAGAAGTATAACACGTTAACCATCATTTTTGGTGTAAGACACTAAATGAAACTTCCTTTTACTCTTCTATTTCTTCACTGCACATTTTAAAATTAATTCAAATGCCAAAAAGTAACTTTTATCTAATAGGATTGAAACCATAGCCAAGAAAGGTGGGAAGTTTAGAGATATGGTGAAGTCTCTCCAATAAATTTTCTGTTTGTAGACGAATTGAACTTTGGATACTTGTACAAAAAAATAAAAAATTAAACTTTGGATGCCAATTGAATAGAAAATCTATAAATTTATTGGAACCAAATTTTGTGCAGAAAGGCCTTCTTAGTTCTTCCAAGTCTGTAGGGGCAAAAACGAACAACGATAAAAATTGGATAATTATTACTTTAACTACTAACAGATAAATAAAATATTCATATTTTACAACAATATTTAGTTGATAGCCCTGTGTCAAGTTTCAAAATTACCTGAGCAATCAAGTGAGGCCATAAGGATTGAACATAACTTACAGTCTGCAACTTTTTATGGCCGTTATGAAGTTCAGATATTCTTATTTATATACAATTGATCAGAAGAAATGACAGCAAAAGTTGTTTTGGTAAATTTAGACCACACATTTAAATCAGTTAAAGGTGTGAGCTAACATTTATTGAAAAAACATAACAAGAAAAATTAGGTAGTTTCTTTCAGGCAATTTCTCAAATACTTCTAGTGCAAACCCAAATGCAGTTTGTATAATAACAAACTCAAATCCATTCTTACTGCACTTTGATAAAGGTCAAACAGATGAAAATTAAAATTAAGCCCGAAAAAGAGCAAGTTGAAGACGCACAAAAGCGAGCGCAACAACATATCACCAATTAGCTTAAACTGTTAGACAAAAGTAGTCAAAATCTTCTATACAAGTTCAAAATATGAGAAGGAAACATTCTTCAGACTGAAAACAAACTGAATCTCAAATATAAATAGCGTTGATAGTAAGACCTTTATTGTATATGCGCCAATTCGAAAAAACTTGGAAAAGGTAGTCCACATATGTGCAAGCAGTAAACTGAACTCGGAGATGTCAGAATTTCCCAACGGAGCAACAGTGGTAACGATGAGAGTAAGCAGAGAGCAGTATAGCGACATAAATTTTATGTTGTAGTAAC